CTCTTCTTTCAGTTTCAGTTTATTCTTAATATTTTTTGCAAGGATTCACAATATAAATGGTACAAACGCGCATGATTTATAATGACAGAGACTAGAAAAGAAATTGAGTACCTTATTTCAATTTGATTGCATGCAGTAAATTGAAAAGACTGAACTAAAAAGAAGCGTGAAATATGGAGGTACCTATATAATATTATAATAGGTGAAAACTGCGCTTGTGAGTTAATGGTTCCAAAGGGTATAGTATGTTAGTTGTATAATAGTCTTTAAAATAGTGGGAATGAGCAATGCGCATTCGGAAATGGATGATAGCATCAATTTTATTATAATAATGGGATTTTTTTTTTTTTTTTTTTTTAATGTTCACTGTCATTCGAATAAAATATTTGTCATATGAAAACAGAACGTTGAACGCTTGATGACTATTACATAGAGGAATTAACATCATGACTAAAATAATATGAGTGTCATTTTGTGATGTCAACTTCGTTATTTCATGCAACTTTTAAAATAAGAAAAAAGAGCTTTGGCTGTAGCTCAACTATAGAATGAGGGGAAAAGAACATGAAGATCATTCTGTTATTCAGGTTAGAAGATAACATGAAAGTTAAACATGTTAATGGGAGACATAGAATAATATGATGAACGGGACAGTCTAACATACGCGTCCACCATTTCATTTCTACAAAATATAGAATGTGTATGTTATATGAAGTTGCTGACACATATTATGTAGGAAAATAGTAACTTTCGTTTATATACCATATACTTTCGGGTACGAGCCTATAACGGTTGAACTACGACAGACTACATGATCTAAATCGGTAATCCATAAAGGGGTGAAGGTGTTTTGGAAAATTAAACTGATAATAATTATCTTTCGTCAAAAAATGTACCTTTTCCCCGGGAGTCAAGGAGCTGCATGGCCGGATTTTTCAAATGCACATTTTGTGGGAAAGGGGGAGGGGCACAAGGTTCTCTTTCCCCTCTTCAGATCATACTGCATGGATTCCTCCATCAGCATCACACCAATTTTCATTACGCAATACATGTATTGTGTATTGTATTTATTAAACTTCATTGAAGTACATCAATATTCTGTTTGTAAACCTATATCATATAAATCAGCTTATACATGTATATTACCTTTCATCTTAATTTCTGTTGATCAGTAACTCCAATATGAAGGTTTTCTACGTCTTCCTCGCCCTCGCCGTCATCGTCGCCTCCGTTGTTGCTATGGAGGAAGAGGAGGAGCTTTTTGACATGATTGACAAACGATCGCCGGAGGAAGGAGATTTCTTGGAGGACATGGCTTATGGAAGTGAGCCTATGGTGAAGAGAGGACGATTCAAATGTGAGTCTAACCCGATAGACAAGATTTGCCCCAAAATGGAATAAACTCAAATTCTAAAAGAACTCTTGAAACACTGAAATTTAAACCATAATTTTTTTACAGAAACTTACTCCAGAAACAGAAACTGAGTTGGAACTTAATTTCCATGTTAAGATCAAAAAGTATTTTTGAGTCTAAAAGCCTATTCACTGAAAATCATGCCTCGCATAAAATTGTAAAAATAATTATTAACTTCTTTTCCCTACACTGATCAATTTTTGGATTAAGCAAATCACCCCCCCCCCCCCCACTAACTTTAAATTTACAGGAATTCCACATAATGTGGTGGGGGCGTCTGACCAAATAAGTTGTAAGATGTGGGGGGGGGGGTAATGGGGAGGGGGCACCTCTACACCTCTAGCGACGCTTCTGATGCCACTTTTGCTTGATAATAATGTTGAAAATAATTTCAATAATAGAGAACATTCAAGCAAGGATGATTATTCCATGGCTATATATACAGCAGCGTTTGTTTGCTTAAAACATAATTTTCTAACATGTTCTGTTTTCTCCTTATATCTTTTGAATTCAGTCTGTAAGAACTTCCGTGGTGATAACTGTGTCTGTGATAGGAAGTTCAGACGTAACAGCAGGAGACGTTATGTCAACTGCAGGCCTGCTAACATGGGTACACCCGTCTAGATTCACTAAACACACTCGTGTAACTATCATGAATGAACTACATTCAGGTGAGCAACTACATTAATCATTGTTATCGATCTTAGAAAACCTCAAATAAGAAAATTCACCACACCCACTTCGCCTAGCTTCACGCCTGACTTCAACGATGCGCCTTATAACCAAGCACAGCCCCTCCCCTATTACGTCATCAGTGGATGCTACACATTTTTGAAGATTAGTTGAAATAAATATCAAGTTCTTTTTGGAGAGCATGCGAATCCCCCCCCCCCCTCCCGGCTCCTCTCCCCCGTCTTCCAAGTGATCTTTGTATAGCGCTTGCGTTCATTTTGCAATTCGGGTATAGGCTTATTTACCGCCAACCACCCCCGCCCCCGCCTATTATAGATATTGCAATGATTATAGCTATAGAATGCATGATATTCAATCATAGAAATGATGTTGTCTATAAGTTGACAAATCATTGATAAAAAATGTGATTCATGCTGCTTATTCTAAAAGAATGTAATATATTGTTATTATTGTTTCTGATCAATCACGGCCGAGTGCCGAGTCTATGCATACCGCTAATTGGATGTCCCTTGTGTTTCATTTTGTGTCATTTTATAGATCTCATCATGGAATCTGTTCATATACCTCAACCTTGATATAGTTCTACAAGCAAGAAATCGTGATGAATATTCGAAGAAATCATTCAGCACAGATAATTATAACGAGTAATGTACTCAACCTTTATGCCATTATATTATTCAATAAAAACCCTTGTAATGTGATCTCGTATAAGATTGACTTCAGTTCTCATAATTATTAGTTATATTCTGTGTGATTTTATTAATGATAAAGAAAAAGATTAGTGATGTGATAATAAAGGCAACGTGAAAGGCAGTTTGAATTTCGAAAGCATGTGATGTGAATCAAGGTTCATTGTCCGAATCAGTCTGACAAAGAGAGGACAATAATGTGATATAGAGGAAAGGTGACTATGGGTTTGTGTTGGTAAGAGAAGGGAGAAGGAGGTGGCGAATAGGAGAGTGGGAGGGGAGAGAGCTGGGGGGGGGGAGATGGATAGGTGTGGCAGATTGATGAAGAGGGTGACCGGTACAGAAGAAACGAGAAAGAGAGAAATATAAAGGAGGAGAGAAAGAAAGAGAGAGAGAGAGAATCCGTACATCAATCAAAATTGACAAAAACAAAATCGTGTTTGATAGTTACTCGACTTTGTAAGTGGCTCTTTCTTTGTGTATAATCATGTTTATATTGCTTCTTGTTTTGAGAAAAAAGTGAGGAAAACAAAATGATTGTAAGTGCAGTATATCAAAAAGTATCATAAAATGCTTAAAGAGAAAGAAAATGATTGCCATTTTCATTTTATTGGTTCACGACCCGGAACACATTTTTATCCCCGTAATCCTTATTTGATTCCATTGCACATAAATTATATTTCACTGTTGACAGAAACGGAAATTATATTTTTAAACACTGATGCTTTAGTCAATTAATGCATATTAAAATTTGATAGTGATACAAATAACATTCCACTATAAGAGCAAGTGAAAAAAAGACCCACATTAACTGAGATTATCAACAACAAAAAGGATACAGAATGAAATCTATCATGATTACATTATGATTAGCCCTAACCTTTCCTACTGAATGTAGCCATGTTTGAATGCTACATTGACTCTTCTCACTCCCTGCCCCTTAAAGCCGAAACCCTCCCCTCCATACCCTTCATACCACTAAACCACCCGCCCCAACATACACACGCACAAAAAGAAAAACAAAGAAAAACAAAGAAGAAGAAGAAAAATAAGGCGCTCTCAAAGTTGTTACTTTGACCCCACTTATGAGGGGAGGCAACTTGATGAAATTATTGTGCAACACACACTTTTCTTGGACTTCTTTTCTCGCATTTCATTAAACTATTTTTTTTTCTCGATTGTCGATGCATCCCAATAAATCCAGTGCCCCTTGATCGACTAAGAACCAAGAGAAACCATTCCGAGTCCGTTGGTAGGGAAGACATTTTCAGGTCATTATAGATTGCCATAACTTTAGCATGATATGTTTGTCGTATGAATTAACTGAGATGGTAATGAATGAAAAAGATGAAATTAAATAACTCGTTTTGGGAAATGATTCAGTCTAGCTATTCAGCATGTCAGCATGTTTTTAACAACAACAGAATTCCTGAGGGTCATAACTTATATAGGCCGTTATGATATATAATTATTGTGAAGCTATTGTATAATTTACTTATTTATAAAAACACATTGCTTTCATCTCAAATGTATTGATGTTGTTATGCACTATTGATGTTATTAAAAACTTGAAAATAAACGAATCTAATTCTGAACTTAATTTTGTATCAAGCCAAACAAACATATAGTGACCCTTAAACCTATTTTTTTACACGATTCTCCTCCTTGCAAACGGATATCGCTTTGTCCGGGATTTCTTTATATCCTAGGCTTCCCTTACTTATTTCTGCCTAAGATGACAATCAAATGTTAACTAAACAAAATAGTTTCACGACAAAATTATGCTGGGCTTATTCAGCCAGTGCGGTTTAGAAAAAAAATACGACTCTTGCTTCTATTTTCTCTTCATAAAGGAAATGAAAGAAACAAAAAAAGGAATTTTGTAAAGCTTGACTTTAAACTGTGAAAAAAGAGTGAAAAATAAATAATCCTCACTAACTGTTGAAAGAGGGTGAGGGGGCAGTGGCGTAATGAGCAAAAAACTTCTTTTTTTTGGGGGGGGGGGGAACCCGGATAATCATGTCATTTTACCGACATTTGTAAATTACTGGTATCGAATTAAAAAATAAAGCACGTTTGAATTTTATTTTATTTCGCGGGGGGGGGGGGGGGGCGGTATTCACAGAACTGAAAATACGGATCTTCAGTTCTAATTCGGAGGGGTATGCAACCGGTACCAGCCACAGATCATAATGGCATAGCGCCCTCTCTTGGAAAGTTGTCGATATTATTGACGATGTTGTGAAAATGTCGTTTTTCAAGCGAAGTCCCTCCGATTCCTCTTCAAACTACGGAGGAATACCATCAAAAATGCCAACTCCAATTCGCCAGAGATCTCCAATGCCAACAAAGCAGTTTCTTAGTCCACCTAGTGTTGATCCAGAGCCGTTTTATCTGCTGAAAGACCCACCTATATCGGGACCTGGTAAGCCATAGGAAATAGAAATAGCACTTGATGTAGCCCCACATATACACAATGGCGTTGGTTCAAGTGCAACTTAAAACAGAGTAGAGTAAAGGAGCCCGTTTTCGGCCACTTAAGACAAAATCCTATTTTTAGGACTCTTTACTTCCTATTTATTATCATTTCTTGTTCAAATCATGAAGCAAATATTATCTATATTACTAATACGCAAAATCGCCGCGGGGGGTCCAACACGGGCCAAAACGGTTCCTCAAAAACGTCTTTCCCCGACCCCGCCCGCCTCCGCCGTGGCGCGGGGAGGGCGGCACAATTCCACCAGGCCTGTCTCCCGTAACCCGCGTGCCACGTCGACCCCGCGATCGACGTCCATGCCGTTAAACGCGGTTTCGGGGCGGCCGGGGAGGACGGGCGGACGAGAGCACGGCGGGCGTCGCGGATTGCGAGGGGGCGACGAACCCGCGAGAGCGAGTCGGCAAGGCGTGCACCCGCCCTCTGTCTAATTATCAAAGAGAGACGAAGAGACACACGATGGACGAGAATCCACTCGCGTCAACGGGTGTAGCAAGTCTCATTGTAAAGGCTGCGGCATATCCCGAGTAAGGCCTCTTGCTATAGGATACGCTTTGTAGCATGTAAGAGAAATACACATCAACAGACGACTCACCCGGGTGATGGGATGTAGCCAATATGTACGCTCAACGGGTTGAGCTTACCCGTGTTATGCGTCTTTCTGTAGGATATGCTTTGTAGGCCAGGCGTTCATAGTGTATTACACGCTCTCAGGTCACACACATGCACACACCACAGTCGATTCGAGTCGAGGCGATTGCGACAACTGGCGCAAACCATGGACCTATTTTCACGTAAAATCTTTACTCTGAAAATAATTATACAAATTTTGTGATCTATGCCAACATAATCATAGTCCAAGCTTCTGTTTTATTGGTCTTTTCATGAAAACTACATCGAAATCACAACAAGAATAGCGCAAATAGATTTGTGATAGTACGCCTTCACGTGACAGTTCAGTTGCAAACTGCCTTGAGTCTACAGTGTATTGCCACCGCGGCTGAGCGCTGCTGTCGGGGGTGCTGTCGGAGCTGAGTGTGTGAGCATGGAGTAGCGGTGACCGGAGTAGCCAGGTCTATCCGTGGTGTGAGGAGAGTCTAAACAACACTTTGAAATTGCTATTATTGCCCCGATTTCAATATAGTTTCGTGAATAGATGTATGAAACCTGGGCTTGGATTGTGATTATTCTGGCCATGTATAGTTGTATACTGAATTTCGATAATCATTTTTCAAAGTAAAGTTTTCACAAGAAAATCAGACGGTCGTCATGGTCGTTTAAAAACATGATAATACTTTTAGTATGATACAGTTCTTGCATCAAATCAATTTTTAAAGTATGGGGGGGGGGGGGTCAGGTAACTCAAAGCAATTTGAGTGCAGGCGTGGTGTTTACGGGTACAAAGGGCTGAACCCCCGAAAGCTCGGGGGTTTTGGGCATTTAATTACGGTCAGATGAGCATATTTTTAATACCTTATTTGTGACACTGGCAGGTCGATCACTAATTGGCGTAGGGTCCATAGTAGAGTTGCGTACCAACTACGCTGAGCTGAGAGTATGCTGGCCTACGTTACCATACCCTGAGGAACGCAAAAAAGTACGCAAGATGGACGCAAACAATTTAATATTTTTAACAAAATTCGCGTACTTTCGGCGTAGAAACTTGACGCAGAAAGTACGCCTTTTTTTACGTAACACTACGCTACTAAACTAAACAAACTGCATCTTTAAATGAATTAATGAAAAATTAGCCCAAGAAAAATGAGCCCCCGAAAGATAAAAAAGTAGCCCCCCAAAATTTTCCCAAACTTTGATATAGATCGAGTCCCCGAACAAAAAATCTTTCACTGGATTCTACGCTCACAGTCCCACACACAATCGAGTCAATTTGTGCACAAACTGTCCGATTTTTCGCGTAAAATCTTTACTTTGAAAATAATTGTACACATTTTGTGAACAATGCCAACATAATCATAATCCAAGCCTCTGCATATGTAGTCTTTTCATGAAACTACATTGAAATCACAACATTAATAATGCAAATAAATCGTAATTATCGAGATCCTATCTGACATAGTTTGTTTTACGATGCGCCATTCATGGTCAAACAGCATATATTATAAAAATTCTCTATATAAAGATAATCTAAATTTTTTTTGGATAGCACATAGGCCTCTATCTATCTATTTGGCCCCCTCCCCTAGAATCCCGTGGATTTTCCACGGGTCCTGCTAGTTATTATTTAAACAAAAAAAGAATCCCAGAAAAAAATCACGAATTGCCATGACAATATTCATTTCAATTTTCACTGTTTTGGAGCCCGTTATCGGCCGAGCGTTTCAGTTTACGGCCGCATGTACAAAGTCAATAGGAAGCGCTCGCGCACGCCGTGCGTTTCCGCGCTGATGTACAGCACAAGCGGGCGGAGCAGGTATCCCACGCCGGAGCTCCCTGATGCTCGCCTGGCCGAAGACAGGCACAGCGGTGATCGGAAGTTGGAATCTGAATTAGACAGAGATATCGTGTGTGCGTCGCGGTGTGCGGCTGCATTGATTTAATACATGCGATGACATACTTTTGAGCTTGCGACTAGCACAAAATCGGGCTCTAAATCTGAAAAATACTCGAAATAAAGCTCATTTTATGGTACCCATATTTCTTACAGACACGCGTAAGATACTCGATTTTTCAGATTTGGGTAGCGGGACCGGCGATTACATCGCTAAAATGTGATATTTTAGGATATATTTTCCATTGCAAATGTGGTTCTTCAGTGACACTGGCATGGTATGGTATGTGTGGGATATGTGTTATGCTATTATGCGATGTATTTTAGAGTGATTTTACCTTGCATCCAACCAATCGGCCGAAAACAGGAGCTGGCCGATTACGGGCTCCTTTACTCTAGGCCAAGTTATTTTATTTGTTATTGTTTGATCTTTAGAGATTTATGTCCATAATAAAGCAATAATGAAGTGCAATCCAATCTTTCCAACCATTCAAATAGAAGGATAATAGAAATTAGAGAAATGGATCTGTGATTGAATGTGGTTTGTGTGAAAGTTGAGAATGAAATGTTTTAACCTGGCAAACCTGGCCATGCCAGAGAACTTTAGCTTACATTTAGCGCATGCGCAAAACGATCTCTGCGAATCGCAGTCTCATTTTACGAAATTGGCGCTGACAAGGGACCTTCTTATTGGCTATCGCTGGCCTCCATTTGCTCAATGTTTGTGTGAGGAGCAAGCTTGCGATTTTCCGTTTCATTTGATACCAAAATTATGATATTTCAGTCAAACCCTTTATTTGTTACAACTTTTTCAGCATCCTTAAAAGGTTAAGTATTTCCCTTGATTTAAGTCTTATATAGCTATTTTTAAGTTTGAACAATTCTCATTTTCGTCATATTTATGGTACAAACTGGAATTTTGTTCTGAAATGTTCATTGATTTTTCTACTTTATGTGTGTGCAATTTCATGTGTGCGTCAGTTATGTGTGAAGTGCGTCACCTGTTAAAGCATGACATGTCAAAATCTCTGTGTTGTGACGTAACATTAAGCATTGACATTGCCATTGAACTTAAGTTGCGCTTAAGTAGACCCTCTCTCACTTAAATTCAAAGCCACTCAAGCGGATCGGCCAATGAGAGCGCGTAAACTCACTGTACAGTGCTCAATGCTCAAAGTTCTTTGTGCCATACATGTGAAAGAGTTGAATTTAAAAAAAACAATGGCTGAATCAGCACCAGATGGGACAATTGTTTTTACTTGCACCTTAAGATAGATAGATAGATATGTTTTTTATTAAAAAGATCATCGCAGCCAATGGCTGAATTGCGATTGATTTTACAAGGATACAATACAATTGCAATTCAAATTGAAATAACACAAAATATGACATAAATCACTAATCAAACATATAGACATTTCATAAAAATTCATTGATCAAATTCAAATTTTTCTTAAAAAAAGAAAGAGATGGGGAGAGGTGTAGGGGAGGGAGAGTTGGAGTAATGACAAAGAGAGAGAAGGGGGACGAAAAAGAGAGACGGAAAGAGAGAGAGAGAGAGTTGAAGAGACGAAGAGACAGACAAAGGGTACCTTATCATTATAGATGAGGGAGATGGCAAGAAATATTCAGTAATGCAGAAAATTGAGATAAAAACTGTCAAAATTCATTCACGTAGTTGAATCATGGACTGTGAAATTGTAAAAATACAATTTATATTGGTATTACATTTTATTCAGAAGATTTATAAAGTAAAGAAGAGAGCTGCACTGGAAGCGTTTTGTTTTACATTGGTATTGTTTTGATTGAGATCTTAGAGCATAAGCGCTTTGTTGTCTAAGAGGTAAACATTCTTTAAATTGTGGGTGTTTGGCAAGTGCATTGGCAAAGTCTAAACATAGCTGCTCACGTCTTGCTTTTAATGAACGTAGATTGCACGTTTCCAATGCTGCTTCATAATTTTCATACTGATGTCCTAAAATGATTTTGCAAGCTCTTTTCTGAATACATTCTAAAATATATACATGAGTTTTTGTTAAATTACCATTGAAAACCGGTACCCCATAATCTAAAATCGAACGAATGTATCCTTTATATATAAATAAAAGGTCATCTACAGGCAATCCATACTTCTTAAAGGCAACGAAACATAAACAACTTCCCATTAAACCTTTTTGAGAGATCGGATACATGACTATCCCACTTCAGGTTTGATTGTAAAATTATTTTGAGGACTTTGGCTTGATGAACATAAATTAATTCTGTCGCCAATGAAATTGAAGTTTGTTCTTCACAATTTTTCATAAATGTTATAACCATAGAGAAATACTTGGAGGGATTCAATGTCATATTATTTTTAGCTGACCATTGGTATAGATCAGTGATTTCATTTTGTAGTTTAGACTGAGATGTTACTTTTTGGCTTTCTACAATCGTTAAGTCGTCAACATATTTATAAATTTATGTAAATAGGACAGTCTGCACTTCAGAAGGAGAAGAAGATTATTTTGTGGTTAGAATGTACATGTATAAAGAAGAAGTGTTGCAGCTAACAAAGTTCTATGTTGAATGTATTTTTGTTTTCTCTCATCAGGTTCTGAGGTGACAGGTGAAACCCACATGATCAGCCACTATGGTTTGGAGCACAGCTATAACAAATTCTCCACCAAGAAACTCAAAGAACAGCTCAGTGCATTCTTGCCTCTCTTACCAGGTTAGTTGCTACAAGTCTCTTGGATAGGCAATTACAGGTGTATAGGTCGCTACAAGTCTCTTGGATAGGGAATTACAGGTTTATAGGTTGCTGCGGTAGCAACCCCTGTTCTTAACTTAAGGGGGAAAATTTCTTAAGGGACACTGTTTTCTTAACATCAAGTATTTAAAGAAAGTTGTGTAATATTCTCTATGGAATGAGGTTCATTTAGATGGTCTTGTACGTTTTTGATACCTTTTACGCACATGGAAAGAAAAATACAAAGAGACTTGATGTTACTTATACAGTAGTCTGCATTTTCATTGTATTTTCTTTATAGTGATACAAAGAATGTTTCATTTTAAGTACCGGTGGCTTCACCAGTCATGAAATAGTCTTTGTTTTAGAAATGTTAGGTCTGATAATGGATAGAGAGAGCCTTTATGTTATTAGTTTCATTCAATCCTTCCTGACACAGCTCTGGAATAGGTGAAGTATATTTGCAGGGCTGACTGATTATTTCTGTTCCTTACTCCATTTATCCTTTTCCTTTGAAAGTAGAATGATGTTGAAATTCAATTTCATGATAATCAGATCCGAAAACATTGTCCTCTTCTCTTCTACAATTTTCCTATTGTTCTTGTACTAAAGATGATGTTTTCAACAATTGTATTGTGTTTCAGGGAATATTGACACTGTTAGTTCACAAGACAACAGCAGTCTTCAGTCTGTGATTGAGAAACCTCCAATTACAAAGGAAATCACTACCTTTACTACAGGCATGTTGCAAGGGTTCAAACTGCATCCAGGATCAGTAAGTAAATTAATGCATATTCATTATACTGATGCATATTCATTATACTGATGCATACCAGTATTTATTATACTAATGCATATTCATTATGCTAAAGAAAATTAGCCACCTGTATTCAGTAAACCAATGTTTTACAAAACCTGATTTTTATTCTGTTATAGATATGCAGTCATAGATCCAAGAAATTAAACTAAGAGATGGTAATGTCAGAAAATGTATGCATGCATGGTTGCATGTACGTACATGTATATGGGTTACCTCCTACCACCCAATGTAGAGGAAACATGCCAAACTCTATTATAGATCAGCGTTTTTCACCCGGGGTGCTGCAGGACATCTCTAGTGGTGCTGCCAGGGAAATTAATTAAGCATCTATTTTTGGATCCATCATAAAAATAAACCTCAATTTTGTGAAAACAAAATATTAAAAAACTGCTATGTATTTTCATGAAGAAATAACATTTTGAGTGTCTTTTTTACTTCGCTCGCTTTGTTCGCTTGCAAAATTAAGAAACTGTGATGTGCCTGAATACCCATATAATTAGTCTATGAGGTGTTAGAATATCTCTTTTGAGAGCAAGGTGCCTGAATACGTCTTATATTTGTATATATTGAAATTGCCTCTTTACCACGCTCGTTCATCCCACTCGTTTGAAACATTTAGAAACGGGATGATTTACGTGCGTCCAAAACACTTGATGCATGATGTGAGCCAGAGTGATAGAAAATGAATCTTCTGTAATATGAAAGGTTGCCACGACTCTAAAAAGGCTGATATAGATGAGGTGTGAGGATGGTCGTCACCATTACCCTTCTGTGGCATATATGACATTTTACTCTTTTGTGATTAGATATTGTTATATTCAAAAGCAAAGCACTCAGAGAACAGATTTACAGGGTATCCCATATACTTCTTGACATCATGCTACATGTATACATTACACCTCTCAACTAAAATTTGTATCACTTGTTTTATTTCTCTCTTCAGATTCCTGACCAGTATAAGCTACTTCATCATCAACCTGCTAAGAAACACAAACACAAGAAGCACAAGAGAGATCATCGCATACCGGAACTCAGTGAACCAATGAGCGCAGGTAAAGAGTGCCACATATTCAGGAGTATTAAGAAGAGTACAATCATTATATTGTGCTCTGTCATTTAAGATGATCCATTCATTCCAGGGCTGTGATTCATGAATATGTATACATGATTGATGTACTCTATAATGTGAGATGTATGTGTCCATAGAACTTTGCTTGTTTTGCAAGTGGTCAAGATTTGTGAAAGTAGAATGCTTTAAAAAATGAATCACAACATTGAACTTTTGCCATGCACAAACATTTCTTGCTGTGAAAATAGAATGGTTTACTGACATTTTCGGTTTTACTGTGAGATGATGACATTATTGCATGTGATAGAATTGTAGCAGTTTTGTTTGAAACAAGATTGAAACAGAGCTCAGTATTAATACCCTGGTTAAAACATGAGTTGTATTACAGAATTCTAGAGTCCAATTTTTGTTTTCTTCTTGCAATTGGAAAATCTGCTGCTGTAAAACTGCAATAAAAAGAATTAGACTAGACACATTTTTGTTTCATATGAATGAGAAAGGTGTCAGAGTCAGATGTGTCAAGTGTAGAGGTGGAGAGAGTCTTGGAATGAAATCTAAGAATGGAGTGTAACCTTGGTATCTCATACTTGTTTCTGAATGAAGTGTAACCTTGGTATCTCATACTTGTTTCTGAATGAAGTGTAACCTTGGAATCTCATACTTGTTTCTGAATGAAGTGTAACCTTGGTATCTCATACTTGTTTCTGAATGAAGTGTAACCTTGGTATCTCATACTTGTTTCTGAATGAAGTGTAACCTTGGTATCTCATACTTGTTTCTGAATGAAGTGTAACCTTGGTATCTCATACTTGTTTCTGAATGAAGTGTAACCTTGGAATCTCATACTTGTTTCTGAATGAAGTGTAACCTTGGTATCTCATACTTGTTTCTGAATGAAGTGTAACCTTGGTATCTCATACTTGTTTCTGAATGAAGTGTAACCTTGGTATCTCATACTTGTTTCTGAATGAAGTGTAACCTTGGAATCTCATACTTGTTTCTGAATGAAGTGTAACTTTGGAATCTCATACTTGTTTCTGAATGAAGTGTAACCTTGGAATCTCATACTTGTTTCTGAATGAAGTGTAACCTTGGAATCTTGTTTCTCTTATAATAGGAGCTGAAGCTGGAGGAGACAATGGCCATGAGAAGAAACATAAGAAAACCAAGAAACATGGAGACCAAGATGGAGAGAAGAAAAAGAGAGACAAGAAGAAGAAAAAGAAGAAGGTAAACTTGATTTCATGTTTGTCCTCCTACCTATACTTAGCATATAAAGAAAGTTTGCTTTCTGGGTATGTCTTTGGATATTTACAGCTAAAATCATACTCATAGATTGTTACGAGTTTTACTGATGTGCACTGGACATATTAAAATGGTACTGTTGGTATTAAATGATGTTGCATGTAATCTTCGAGGTGTATGATGTTACTATAGTTGAGAAACACTCAATAGAACACACTCTTTAAAGTTTAAATCTTTTTTTTTGGGGGGGGGAGGGGGATGCTAAGATGTGTTAAAACATGCTTGTATGTTTTTTGTTTAATCTCTCTTTCATGTGCAACCAAGCATATGAAATATACATGATTATTTTATATTTATTAAGAACAAAAAGTGGTATTGTTAGTATTGTAAGTGGAAATCTTTAAATTGCCTGTTTCTCTTCTCACTGTCTCACAGGCTCGTCAAGATCCGATGCACCCTGGCATGCCTGCAACACACGAGGGCAGTGGACCAGGTAGGCCCTAACGACGTCCAACGTATATTAGTAATATGAATGAACGTTATTCAAGCAAAGACTGTAGCAGTTCTCCTGAAACGGATAGTGATATCCAGATGAAACCTTTCTGCAACTTAGCTCCTCTAGGGGGTGAAACCAGCTTTCAAATCCCCATTATGTGTTCTGCATAAATCATTAAATTATGTCTAACACACCAGCAGAGAGAGAGAGAGAGAGAGTGTGTGTGTGTGCAGAGATATCACAAGTAAACTACCTCCCAGTTCAAAGCTGAATGTTTTTTAGCACATTCCTGAATGAATCTGCCCTTATCATGGCTCATCTACATTTTGATACTTTCCAAGCAAGTTGGGGGACTTGTACTTACTTTATCAAGAATAGTACACAGACCCTGGTGCAATTAGATTGAAGGTCACCCTATACCAAAAGATAGATAAGAACAAGTTCCAGTATTTTGAGCACATTTCTAGAAGAGGAGGTGACAACCTGGAGAAGATCATTACCCAAGGTCATGTTGAGGGTCAACAAAAACGTGGTAGACCAAGAGTTTGATGGGCTGACGGAATAAAAGAGATGACTGGCATGAACATCTGCGCAGCTAATCGCTATGCCCAGGATAGAAGTGGTTGGAATGTCATCATCAATAGGGTCACAAAGGGTCAGTGATCATGATTTGTAGGACAACTGGTGCAAGATCATTCTGATGCCGTGCTCAAGAGCACCTATTCCAGAGCTGTGTCAGGAAGGATTGAAGGGCTCCCTCTACTAGGACCATGTTCAACTAAATGTATAAATGAGATTTTAAAATCTCATGGTTTTAAATATCACTATCACACTTTCATACAGTAATTTAGTTGACCATTATATATGGTACTCAAGTATTTCAAATGAAACAAAAAGGGCTGACTGTATTTCTGATGACTTGAAATGGCATACATTTTCATCATACCAATTTGCTGTAGCATGATCTTATTCAAAGTCATGTAAATCACACAATAGAAATGCAATATTGTCAAATTGTTGAATTATTAAGCATGCTATTCATGTCATTTGTTTCAATATTCAGATTAAGAATGGGCTGGAAATAGAGGAATGAAAAATGTATAATAAATAACTTTTATTTATTGGGGAAAGTAATTTTGAAATATAGCCAATTTGTTTTTTCTCTACAGCTAGAATACTAATTAAACAAATCTGAGTACTGGTAGATCTAATGAAAGAGGAAAAGGATCATCCTGAACCAAACACAAGAATGCAGACACTACATGTTCCTGTGTTGGGTTGGATGATACCCGCTCTTTCATTGTTTTTAACTCAACTTTTTTACTCTGGAACTCTACGGTTTGTTTGATACCGTAAGTATTCTAGCATTTCAAACACCTAATCATTGACAACATGATTCACTAATTTAGCCTTGATCAGGCCTTTTGAATCAGCTTTTGTAAATTAATGTTTGCATTTAGAAAATGAAGAAATAAAAGAGCAGGAGAGAAAAGGAGAGAGAGCATTTTATTATAAATATTACAGGTAATTAATTCTGAATTTTGGAATCATGATGCTGATTTTAGCTGTTGAGTTTCAAAGAACTTTGAAGTTGTTTTATTTCTTTTGATATCATCATGTGTCCAGCAGAAGTTCACCAACATAGATTTGATCAAGTTTTACCATTTATATTATTGGTGTTGAAAAGATAAAGAAATATTAAGAGAAGACTATTAAGTGCCAATGTAGATGTAGATTGTGTATGGTGTATGTTTTGAATGTGTTGTTTGGATTAATCAAAGGAGACGAAAACTTGAAATAGTTCAGTTTCCATGCATCCAATCATTCTCTTCTGCTATTAAAGCACATGATAATTTCAACGACAAAACACCAAGCAGAGTGATGGTATAGACAAGAATTTATGTTACATGTATTGTATATTTTAATTTCTCTAATACATGTAGTTGCATGCTGGTAACAAGTGTTCTAAATGAGAAAAAATCTTGCAGAGCAGTGACTCTTGTTTATGTAAATGTATGAATAGATGCATGTTTTTATTATTTTAAATGGTATGAAGATGTCTCATTCTTATTAATACAAATGTAAAAGAAAGAAAAAAATAAGAAAATTATTTAAAATGAAAGTCTGTCTGTGTTACGCAGTTTATTCTTGTCCGTGTTGTTTGATAGCATACATATTGTCTTCATTGAACGTATCATAGCTGAATGTGTTATACCATAGACCTATTACAGATGGACATTCAACATGATTCTTTCTTTGATCCAATGATAGTCACTGCCTTCTGATTATGTGCATCTTAATGATAAAATTCATCTGTTTTAACAATAACGACTGCGTAAGCATTTTCGGTCATTGACAAAGGAGCAGTTTCCCTCTCTTGGGTTTTGTTTGGATGGTGTGCTCTGTAAGAGTGTGTCTTAAATAAAAGCATCCCCAATAGGGAGCAGCAAAGTTGAAAAGCAGACGATTTTGGTGAAATGAAATGTATTATTACTGATTCGCAAACTTTCGCACACACCTATGACCTTATAAAACAATTAGAAGGCCATGATCTGTATCAGCCCTGTGCGTTGTAGCTCTGGAATATTATGAGGAAATAGGGGGAAACAGGATTTTAAATCACAACCAAAAAATCAAAAAATAAGCTCCATCTGTTAATATCAACATGTTTTTCAAAAAAATACATGTACAGTACACGGAACAACAATTTTGGATTATAAGCCAGATCTGCACATCTATTTTCCATGACTTAGGCGAGTTATTATCTTCTGCGCAGGTAGATTAACATGTGTAAAATCACTATCTTGATTCTGTCCCGGCTTCTTGGCAGTGACCATCATGAGATCAAAGTGAAGAAACATGTAGGGAATGTTATTGAGACGACATTGACAGAGACGATCACAATGAATTCGTTAAGAAAACGATGAATGTCCATCCGTAATAAGTCCATGGTTATACCATTGGTCCTACTTCCTGTTGATTCAGAGAGCCCTATATTGAGGGTTCAGTGCCTCAAAGACGCAACTCCATGTTTTGTCAAAATGAGTATTTGATATCAAAATGTTCAGAAAAATGTGGGTTTTTCCAGGAAAGACAAAGAAACCCAATTGAAGTCAATGGCTAGTAAACATAGACTTAACTCCTTAAGACCCAAGTGGGTCTTTAATCTTTAAACCTCTTTTTCTCAAAATGGCAAAAATGGAGTTACGTCTTTGTGTCACTGACCTCTCGATATGTATCACTAATCCCACCACCAAGATCCAAAGTACACAAATGAATTGCCACAAGCAGGCAAAGATTATTTTTCAGATGTTTTTTTTATTGGTCACATAATCATAAATATACTCTGAAGTAAAAATTATTTTGTTGGCCTGTAATGTATTGTAGATGATGTAAAGCACATTCTCATCTAACATTTAGCTTTGCTCAGCTGGTTTCAACGATATTCACACCCGTAGCATCGAGGCCTATGTATGCATAATAAAAGAAGTTAAGGCAAATGACTACGTAAAGAAATAGCTCATTTGTACAAGTTGACTGATTAGATATTACACAAGGGTTCATCTACCATAAACCAAAATATCAAGTTAGCAACCACATCTTTTTGTTTTTTAATTCCTGAAATACAGAAATTTCTTCCATATTACTATTTGCTGACACCTTTCACAATACATGCAGACCTTAACACAGCTAAGTATAAAACTGAGTTTTGCTACACATTCATAATACAAGTGAATACATCTCACATTTAAAATAACAGTTTGTCCATCCGTTATGATTAGGTTGCCAGCACTATATAAACATGCTTTCTCATAAGCCTTGTCACTCATCTTCTGGTTGATTTCTAAGTAGTAAGAGACATCCAAGGCTCAATTTATTAATAGAATAATATTAAATGTCAAGGAACTTTCAAAGTTTACAATCAAACAAACACACAAAGTCAATACGGCAACATTATTCTTTAACACATTACATGTAACAGCTTTTGCCTACTCCCAAATATATATATATATATATATTCTCTTACAGATTTGATATTATGACACATCAATATTATAAAGTGTTGAGAATACATGCAGTGAATCTATAACAACATCCTGATCGTACTATGAGACATGTAGTATTCTGGGAACTGTTAGTATCTTAAATACTTATTGGCTAGGTGCCCCAGTATTCTTATCAGGAAAATGGTGCATGCATCCCATTTTTGTAGTACATGTATGCATGCATTAGTCTAAATCTTTTGAATAACCTTAAAGTTGATACATGCAAGCCAATCTTATAAGCAGCATCTAACATTTAAGTCAGCATTTAGGTTAATAGCGACAACAAAATATGCATAGGATCAATAGGAAACAAGTCAATGCAAAGCGTAGCATCCCCATGTAGGGTACAAATGGCCTGTATACGTCAGAACAAGTTACCTCCATTGGACTATACTATAATATTACTAGGCAAGGAAGTTAACCACATTTTTACAAATATAATTAGGTGTTTTTGCATATTTAATGAGCTACGACCTTTCACCTACATACTCGGAAATTGAACTTAGGCTGTACATGTATTTTGATACCATGTACCTTCATATTAAATTTCATTAAAATTCGTCAAACATTACCTAAGTTATTGAATGCAAACCAAATTCGCATATTTAATGAGCTATGACCTTTGACCTACATACCCTATGCCGAAATCAAACTTAGCCTGTATTTTGATATCATGTACCTTCATATCAAATTTAAAGGCACACTGCCATACTTGTAGCTACTTGCTCCCTCTATATAAAAAACTGATCCATGATCCTCTTTTTCTTATGTTAAATGAGAGCTGAGTTAATGAGATAGCCACCTGTCACAGTGACCTCGATGGCTCTTCTGGCCCAGTAGTGGTGACGGTCTTTAATTAAAATCCGTCAAACATTACTGAAGTTATCGATTGGAAACCAAATTTGTTACGAAAGGACGGAAGAAAGCATTGTTCTTACACGTTGAAGAAAGCTATACAAAATTTTAGGGATTATTAGATGTACTGTAATTACTTATATACCTACATGGCATTGATAACTTGAAGTGAACAAATTCTTGACAATACAAAGAGATGAATGCACATGTGTCGAGATATGGAGCACAATACTATCCAGTACTCTTGTTCATTTAAAAGCACAATTGGCATACTTCATAAAGTTCAGTGTCACAATATAGGCAGGTTTGGTATTTGATAAGCATCAAGCTTATGCAAGTATTTTGGCTAATTTCTTTTGACATACAACTTTTTAAATGAGGTAATTCAATGCCAGGCGTCTACTAATGGGTATCATTCATGGCGTTCAGTGAGTTTATCTTAAATCTGCCAAAGACTTCAGGTAGTTTTTTTGTTTTAATTCACACAAAAAAAGTATACACTTACTATTTGTACATGTAATCTGGTACGGCATAGTCTCCCTATCAACTAAGCATACAAAAGTAATGCTTTACAATATAGAACACACAAATGAATTGCTATTATTTCAATAGTTTCTCATGATCTTGGCATGTCATCTAACATTCAAAAGGGCATAAACCTATGTTTACAGAATTAAAATTCTTCTGGCTCTGAACAAACGATATGGAATACCACCCGAATGAAGATCCTAAGGTATCTGACCTGGCAGTGATGAGTATTATGAAACGGAGACCTTGTTAGCAGGCATGAATCCTGCATCACCTAAAGCTCTTAGTGAGACTCGTCCACTGGGGCGTATTGAAACCCAAGTTATACTGCCATGATATAAACTCATACGAAGCCATGCCTCGGGTGGAAACTGCATAGCTCTGTGATGGAAGAAATAATAAAAAAAAGAGTTTGTTACTATCATTAATCATTTCTACAAATTACAGATATTTAGTCTTTTGATAAAAAAGCACCTGAAATATAATGTCGGTATGTATATTAAATAATATGAGATAATCTATTACATATCGACCATAAAACATAGATCTGTGCTGTGTAAAATACATTTATCTATCAATACAAATCTATATTTGTTGCATACATGTATATATTCCAATGCATTGTTTTTTTATGTGATATTTTAAACTGTAAGAATTATTTCTCAAAGAATGTTAATCCTATCCTAGGATATCATAGGATTACAGTGCAAAATGGATTTAAGATTAATTTAAGGGTTAATTTGTATTTGTATATACTGCTGAATCCTAGGTTTAAGTTAGATGTTCAACCTGTACTACAAAATTGGATCCATTGCAAGAATGAACAGAAAGCCAAAATCAATCAATGTAAGCGGAGGCTAAAGGAGCAAAGCGTCAATAAATTAATTGGCTTCTAGTCTAGACAAAAGAGCTAGTACGGACTCTTGTCTTATTCTGGCTAGCATTGCTATAGCCCATTGTCATTAAATGGCTGGATTTACATCTACTTTCCCAAAGCCAAACACAGCCCATTAATTTTTAACACACTTTCTTTCTTTAGCTTCTGCTTGTATTGACTGATTTGAGTTTTCTATTCAGTCTTGCGATTTACTAGGACGAGAGCAAGAAGAAGAGCTCTAGGATGTCAGATTTAAGTCTGCTTGTTTTGCTGCAATTCAACCAGTGTTAAGAATGAAATATGAAGCATTCAGGTCATAAAAATCTGTGAACACACATGGAGTCACTCACAAGTAGGTACACTCTTCTTACCTGCATACAAAGTATCTGATGACATTAGCATGACATACAATGACCTCAAAGCTATTCTCGGTTTGAGCAGGGTCAGCTCTGTGAAAGTATTTCCTAAAAGCAGCCTCAATACGAGCTCCATCCTCATAGAACTGCTAGAGAAGGCCAAGATGAGGGGTCAGAAAGATGCAAGGGAGTGTTAAAGGAGAACAGAGCAGACAGATAGAAAAGTGTTAGCAACACAAGAACATCCTAAAAGATATCATAAGCTACTAACCTAGAAGGAACCTTCCTTTCCCCCTCTCTCTCTCTCACTCTCTCTCTCTCTCTCTCTCTCCCCTCTCTCTCTCTCACTCTCTCTCTCTCTCTCTCCCCTCTCTCTCTCCTCTCTCTCTCCCCTCTCTCTCTCTCTCTCTCTCTCTCTCTCTCTCTCTCTCTCTCTCTCCCTCCCTCTCTCTCTCTCTTATATGCAAACATAAGAGGGATACATTACATAAACATGTACAACAAACATCTCAAACATAAAAGTAATGTTGTAATACAAGGGAATGAAAGATTTAAACAAGGACAAGTTTCACAACAGATTTTTTACCCCAAAAGATTACATATACCGTACATCAAATGGTCACAATGTATGTTGTGAAGTTATGATGGAGATTTACAGAAATGAAATGAGCAGGAAAAACAGATTAGAAAGAGAAGAAAAATCTTTAAAAGAACATCTCTGTGTTACAAAAATCCTCATTTCAAAGCTGAACAGTTTAGAACCATTGGTAGATTAATTCTTGCTTCATAGTCGCCTCATCCAGTCAAACATGTACCTGTACATGAGGCAATTAAAGCTTGCTTAAAAATCATTAGTTTGGAGTTCTCTTTGACAATCAACTTCCATGAAGTAGGTACTAATGGAGCCTAAAATAAACATGTTGATAGAGTCTCTGTTTCAGTATGGATAAATCTCCTTGAACTCTCCTTCTTCACTTTCCCACTCTTTCTTGTCTTCTGCCTCTTAACTTTTAATTCAATAATCACACTAGAAGTTTTCTCATCAAATCTATCCCACCTCTATTCACGTTTCTTGAGTGGAATTTGTAATGATGCAAGGACAAGTAAAATTGAGGGAAGATACAGTCACGATCTTACCTTTACTTCAGGTTTCCAATGACCTACTGGTGGTTCAGGAGGGATAGGAGCACCTTCTCTCAGGAGTTCACAGTATGTTTCACGAGGTATATCCGGTATCTGTGCACTGATGATGTCTGCAGTCTCTATAGCTCTAGCCATAGTGGAGTTAATGATGGTGGTGTAGGGATGGTTCAGTGCCTTCAGACGCTGTCCTGTCATTGCAGCTTGTTCCCTACCTGAAACATTTAATAATATTTATCCTGAAAGAATCGGATGTAAATTGCACCATCAAAAAAAAAATCCCACAAAATTTGGCATGTATGTACATTTAAGATCTTTGGAATCTGCAAAATGTCAGAGCTAACTATTTGAATTTCAAGAGACACACAACCTGGATACTTGAATCAATCAACATCAAAAAGTTTGGTCTTTTATACTGTTGAATACAATTGTTTACAGATGTGTATTATAAAGATCACACTCCTCCCCTACTATGAGCCACATTAACGATTCCCTCTACAGACTGTTACATGAACATGCCACTCTCCTTCTCTAAACCTAAGCTAAGTTAGGCTGAATGCTTGTTCAGATATGAAACAGTAAACTGCGCAAAAAAGCAGTTGCATTTTTTTCCCAGTGAAAATGAATGACAACTGCAGGCAAAAAGGTCTCTGTGTTATAAGATACTATGAAGCGAATCACACACACTTCAGTTTTGTGGCATCATATCTGAACAAACCTTATACGCTTAACTTAGTAAGAAGAAGTACCTACCAAGTGCAGTTAGTATCCTCTCATCATCAGTGATTCCGTCTGTATTATACTGCCCATGTCTGATGAGGATTAGATGCCTGGTTGCTGTAGGTTTCACTCCGGTAAGTTTGGTAGTTGGATCCTTAGAGTCGACCTCAGTCCTAGATGGATTTATCAAGCTTTCTGGATCTCTCCTGGCATAAAGGACGTTTCATAAAGAAATGGTAAATCAAGGTACATGTAATCATTAATCAAAGATACAGATTCTAGAAATATTTCAAATTCAAATAAGCCAAATCTTTCAAAGGATAAATGTAGGGAAATGAAATGAATAATATACTCATTTAACATTTTGTAAAAGTATTATCGTTATCTAGAATCTAGTAAGGCTGATGATTTGGTAGCTCAACATTTGGAAAAACTGAATTTCAATGAAGAAAACTTCACAATGCCAAATATTCATTTAATGTGAAACTGACTTGAGATCTATAGAACTTTATATTTCTGTACATAGTGTGTAGGTAAATTTTTATCTACTTATTTGTTGTGCTGATTGCATGAAGAGTCAGGTGGGTTAAGACGTCAACTACTGAATATTGACCATTATTTCTTAAAGCCATAAATAAAGGGGAGGGGCTTTGTTTAGATGCCTTAATGCCCCTATTCATTCATTACTCCTAAATCTTCTTTATAAATATCCTAATGACAAATAGATAAATAGGCCTACCAGTACCAGTACTAAGTTCCTGAATCTTGCCTTTTCTTGGATCTCTTTTTCACTAAAAAGTTTTAAAAATGAATTAAGAAATAACAAGTCTAATTAGATTTTCTATCTCTAGATACCTATCTTTTATCCCCCCCCCCCTTTTTTTTTTGTGAGGGGTGGGGGGAGCAGGAGCTAGGAACGATTCAAGAACTGAAGACTCACTTATCCCAGTTTGTATCCCATCTCACACTGGGGTTGTGGTTGGTAGTCCACGCCGCCAGAGCTGTGGGGAGGAATCCATCGCGCTCTCGGCGAGAATATCCAACTGCAGCTGCTCCAAACGCAACCCCGCCTGAAATGCCGAATATGAGCTTAACAGCTCTAAAACCGTGATTAAATGCTGGCATTACTCAAATGCAGTACACAAAGTGATTCAAATAATTCTTCACACACAGTAATGGGTAACAAAATCAGTCACAAAGAAGTATTTTCCACTTGAATCATTGCAGTTACGCTACCGGAAACGAAATGCTAATAAAAGATAAGACTAACTTTTGCAGTCGTTTTTGTACAACTCGGCGTGCTTTGAACTTATACGCTCGTTCAGTGAATTGTCGATTAAGATAAAACTCCTGTCAAAAATCTAAGAAATAATCCTTATCTTACACACATGTGACTAAAGGTATACGTGTGACTAGACTGCTCACATGCAAGAAATTTGTTGTTTCTCTCACATTTATGACATACAATATTAACATCCACGATGGCAGATGCATCAGTAATAGAAGAATTGATTCAATTCCTATCGGTGACAACCAGACCGGACATCAGGAACACCGCACTAGTACATGTGGAAGGGACGACTGCCACTAGAGTCGGGCGGCTTGCCATCGGGAAACAGCTCTTGCCTGTAGCCGAAACTCTGGGGGAGCTCGTCCGTTCGGAAGGGATAGACGAGTCACACAAAAAGCAGGCTTATCACATTGTCGTCAATTTATCATCTGAGGACAGCTATGCGGAGAAACTTGCCCTTGAATTGTCGTACATTTCTTATTTGCTGCAGACAATTGTTGACCCTTCGAGTCCATTTGCCAGGCAGGCATGCATGATTCTGAATAACTTAACTCGAAACAAGGCTGGAGCAGCAAGAGTTTTGACAATCCTTGAGCATGAGGAGAACCATGTTGGAATGAACAAACTGGTTGAATCATTTTGTATAGAAGGTTACAACAAGAAGAGTTCTAGTCTGGACTTTGTTGGACCCTTATTATCTAACTTGACGCAGTTGAATGAAGCGAGGGAGTTTATCTTGGACAGAGAGCGCTGTGTAGTTCAGAGACTGATTCCATTCACTCAGTATAGATTATCAATGGTCAGAAGGAGAGGAGTGGTCACAGTATTGAGGAATTGCTGCTTTGATACTGGTAAGATCTTAGCTTTAGAAAATTGTATCACATTATTGCCATGATTAGAGGATTAATTAAAAGTTTATATGAATGAAAGGAAAAAGCCAACTTCATTAGGTTTCAATTAAACCACTGTAGGTCTTTATCACATTCACAAGTCATCCCTTTGTGTTTTAGTTTTAAATTACCCCAATAATTACAACTTGTTGCTAAAGATGTCAGTTACATATATACAGTGTATTTTCATTTACAAGCTGAGGTGTGCTGAGATATTATAGAGTATCATGGTTCATACTTCTACTTCTAAATGTACATGTATTTATACTTCATCAAATAAGTATGAATTGTTATTATTCTATCTTCAAAGCTTCAGGTTGTACTTAATCCCATGATCTCTTTGACCTTTCACCCCATCAGCATGTCATGAATGGTTGCTAGGAGACCATGTGGATATCTTGCCTCATCTGTTGCTTCCATTGGCTGGTCCTGAGGAGCTGAGTGAGGAGGACATGGAAGGGTTACCAGATGACCTTCAATATCTTGAGGAGAGTAAGAAGAGAGAGGATGATCCTGATATACGTGTCATGCTCCTGGAAGCTATCTATCAAGTAAGCACTCCTTTAACTCAAGTTGTATTTTTTTTCAATTAAAATAATGTTTACTACTCCGAAAATGCAAACAAACTTGATATTTATTTTGTTTAAGAGTTCCCAAATATTATTAAACTAAAAAAATATTTAAGTGTGCATACCCCTTAAAAGGATCCCGCCCCCCCCCCCCCAAAAAAAAGTATTTGGTGTATACATGTGTCCCCTTACTTCCTAGTGCAGTTTTGCTATGCCTAAAAAGTAATCATTGAGGATTTGTTTTCTTCAGTCAATGAATAACAATTGATCCATTGTTGTAGATCTTATAAACCAAATATTGTAGTCTAATTAAAGTTTAAACCTTATTTTATAAGAAGTACGTTTGAATCAAAGCATATTGTTAGTGAGGAAGCTTGATGTTCTATCAATGTCCTTGAAACAGGGAACACGTATTCTCATGAGGATTATGATACCTTTCAATCAAAGACATGGCATCATTTCCAATCATTGGGATATGACTCAGAATATTGTATCACTCAGTTGCTCCTATGTACACATTACACAAGAAATTAGGAATTAATTTAGGCTTTTGCTTTCGATTATGTCACTTCTATTATTTCTTCACTCCTGGGCCTTGTACAATATATTAGTCTTGGAAATAGTTGGAATTTACATCTAGTATTGATTATGCTTATTAAAGCTATCAAAGAGATTGTCACAAAATTATGTATTGAAGTTAACTTGATATTCATTGGCTAATAGAATAGCAAGCACTGAGTCCAATGACCGAGGTAAGCTGTAAAAGCGCTTAGAGATATTTGTATTAAGCGCTATATAAGCGGAATATTATTATTATTATTATTATTATTATGTGTGGACACACATATACAATATGTTGAAACTCAGGAGTAGTCATAGAGTCCCTTCATTATGAAAAACATATGTGATATACTCGATGACTTTTCTTTCTCTTTTCCAGCTTTGTTCCACCAAGGAAGGTCGGCGTATAGTAAAGGAGAAAAGAACGTATGTTATCCTGAGGGAGTACTATAATTGGGAGAGGGATGCTACAGTGAAGAGTCTATGTGGTAAGGTCATTGAGGTTCTCATCATGGAGGAACCACAGCCAGGAATGGAGAACATGAGGGAGGTAGAGATACCAGAGGAGGTCAAAGCTCAGCTAGATAAGATGAAAGAGATGGAGAGGCAGGAGATAGAGGAACAGGAGGGGCAGGAGAAGGACTAGAATGGAGAACCTGAGGGAGGTCGAGATACCAGAGGAGGTCAAAGCTCAGCTAGATCGGATAAAAGAGATAGAGGGTCAAGAGGGTCTGGAGGGGCCGGAGAAGGACTAGAGGAGGTCAAAGCAGAGCTAGATCAGATAAAAGAGATGGAGGGTCGGGAGGGGCAGGAGAAGGACTAGAATGGAATATGATGAAATCAAGACACACTAGTCATTAGGTGGTGGTGGTGGTGGTTATTTTTTGCCTGACTGCTAAGAAAGCAGAAATGCTTGTTAGTAAGCAACCAGACGGCCGATGGCTTTAGGTCCTCTCCGAGGGACCTGGTAATGAGGATTAATGCCTTACCAAAGGGCACTAGCGCATCAACTTGGTTTCGAACCCTGGTTACCGGATTACGAGACCACTGCTCTACCGACTGAGCTATCGCGCCTCCGAGAGAAGGAGGAGCAGGAGGACTACCATTACAATCTACCGGTATTTAATTTAAATAAAGGTTGATTATTAGGAGCTCAAGACGCAACAGATACTGTAGGATGACAGATGGAAGAGCAGGAATAAGATGAAAATTAAATTCATACATTGTGTGTTGTATATAAATGGTCAATGAGAGGTAAAGGAAGGTTGAGATGGATTAAGATGAGATTAAGAAACAGATTGATCTGAAGACAGAAAAAGAAACGGAAAGAAAGAGTAAGAGTTTCAGCTGAATCACATTCAGGGGGGGGGGGCAAAGTCTGATCATATGAGAGAGAGAGACAGACAGGAAGTAAAGATGAGGATAATGAGATAGGAAAGATGTAGATAAAGAAGAAAAAAAGAGAAGTCTGAGATGAATTATCTGTAGAAAATCAGTTGTTATACTTGGAACATTACAGGATCATATGGAATGATATATACTATAGACAGAACAGCTTTATACCTCATCTAGTTATTTGTATTTCTATTGAAGATATCTTTATGTGGATTCAAATGACTGACATGGAGCCTAAGAACAACCATTACAACCACTGAGGGAAGTCTAATCTGTCAAGATGAACTGCAAAATAATAAACTTCAAATACTTGTCTTGTAAGAAGGAGTTTAATATAGGACCTTATGATAAGGCTCATCTGAACAATATACTTTTGTATCATTTAACATGTAATGTGTACCTTTCATAGTAAAACCTGTATATAAAGACCACTCAAGGGTTGCAAGAAATGTGGTCTTATAGGCAGGTGGTCTTTATGTACAGGTTCCTTTAGTACAGGTTTTCATGAGAAACGATTGTCAAGGGAAATGGAAAATGTGGTCTTTATATACAGGTGGTCACTAAAGCAGGTTTCACTCTACAAGTTTCCATTTGTGAGTTTTTTTCATGATTGCAAAGGACCGGTAATGATGCCATGTCATGATTAATAGCATCTCAATCCACTGCAGTTTGATTCTAATGAGAGAAAAAGAAGATTACTGAACTTTCTTGAATTTGTTTTTTATATTATTTACCCCCAAAGTATAGTACAGGTGTATATCCTTGCAACTAATTCTTACCTCCCAATAATTGTTAAAATACATGACAAATTATTTGATATTTAAGTAAGATTTTACCAGAACATTTGTTTTGTTAGTGCAGATTTACAATAGTAAACAAATATACCATGCACTGAGAGGCTCTAGTTGAAATTATGGATCGAGGTGGCAGGAAATAGTGCCATATTGTTGTTGTAATTAATTATTTTCATGTATCAGGCATAAATGTTCATTTCTATTCCGCCCTTTTCCTTCTTTTCTAAGCGCATAGGGACTTTCTTTGTGTTAGTGATATGCGCTATACAAATAACGTTCATTATTATTATTATTTCTGTCGCACAGGAATCCATAATTTTAACTACCGGTAATGGCTTGAAATAGTGCATGATATTTTTGTTTTATATTTTTCAAACCAACCGTCATGAAAATAATAATAATAATAATAATCATGTGAACTGTCACTGAAGTAGTGTAGAGTGCAGTGAGAGCAGCGCAGATGACAGTACCGCCACTGCGACCGATAGCACATTGATCTTGATCGATCGCATATGACGTCATCCATGGTATAGTGCACTATACCATGGATGATGTCACGGATACATCATAGCAATGTTATGTTTGGTCACATGATGCTACAGTATGTTGACCAATCACTGAACAGGAATTCATTGATCAAAAATATCATATTTCCTATCAAATCTAACAATCACATTCCTTTAAAAGAATAGGTGAAACCAGTCATAAATTTCCATTCATGTGGAACCTTTTGGCTGCTTCATGGTCTATTGAAGCCTAAGGCACTGAAACTTTGTTCTCCTTAACCTGTTGAAAAAACATGTGTTTCTGCAAAGGAAAATATGATTTCATAGTTACATGAATGCTATTCACAATCTAGTTCCTGTTGGTATAATGATAGTGAAATACCTTTATTATAAATATATTATATACATAAGTATTGAATTATAAATTGTAAGTACATGTATATTTAGTCCATGTTATAATGATTGAGTACTTCAAAAGTGGTTTGACCATAAAGTTAAGCAGATAACACAAAGAAAAATAATGTGAATTGCCTATTTGTAATGAGTAAACACTTGGGTTGGAGAGGAGAAATGGTGATTATAGGGTATTAGTAGAAAGAGAGAGGAAATAGATAGATAGAGAGAGAGAGAGAGAGAGAGAGAGAGAGAGAGAGAGAAGTGGTTAAATGAATGGAGGGAAAGAAAGTTAAAGAGAGAAAGAAGAGACAGATCAACAGCTAAATCATGTAAAATGAAGAAGTGACGAGTACATCGCAATGTGAGGGACCTACACCCACACACGCAATGAGAAGGTGAGAGATGATTTTAAGTAAGATGACAGAATTTACTTAATTAAAGAAGAGTGTTTCCAAAGAAATTATTCACAAAATCTTCCTTTGTTCCTCATCATTTAACTGGGCCCCTCTAATTCTCACCATTTACTTACCACTTATATCGTTTAACCACCACAAAGCAGTACTCTCGATCAAAAACTTATTTGTTTATGTTCCTTTTCATGAATTTGCTTTTGAAATATGGTATTTTCAAATTAGATTAATACATATTTAATGCTTATTATTCACAAGACATGCTATGCATCGAATACCCGGAACTTGCAATTTAATTATTTATCACATTAATTATATACAAAAACACCTCATTGATAATGCGGACAGTGTGGTCATAAGCTATTTGTAATCTTTATTTGAATACTACTCTACTTTTGATGAAACAAACTTTTGCCACCGTGTAAGCATCTCAAATGAAAAAAGCTTATGATGTGATTCAAATTACCTCTTTTCACGGCCTAAAACTTAAGTTCATCATGCTAATGAAGAATAAGCAATACACGACCTCACAAGACTGCCAGGGTCTTAACCTATATAAGTATGCGATAAACTTCTTTCTAAGCCCCTCATCGATTGGAAGAAAGTTTATCACCCGTGGTTAGAGCAAACAAGGTACCATTACTTAGAAAGCAAACAGAAAGCAAGCATGCATGGCAACATTGTATACACATTGATTATAACAAACTTGTAACTGTTATCTAATCGACACTAGGTCCTCCCATGACGCTCAATATTTTATTTTAAATGTTCTGGACGAGCATTGGGGTTATATTGAGCCACAGATTTGAGGAATGTGATGGGGCGGGTGGGGGGGGGGAGGAAGAATCGAACGCAAAGGAGGGGGAGGCTTTGCCTTTTACAGTAGACATTTGTTTTTGCATTCATGGCGACGGCCTTTAAAGAATTATCTTTCTTTATTTAACTAATTATTCACTATACATATTCTTCTTATTTTATTTTCTTATTTCTTTTCCCGCAAATTTCCGGGTAAGGGGATTGAGGACATTCTCCACAAGCCTACCAAGCCCCCCCCCCCCCCTCCCCTGTACCGTTATTCCCAGTGGCAGATCCAGGGGGTCGGGCCCCCTCTCCTGGGGGAAAACAGGTAAAAACACATTTATTTTACCTTTTTTCGGGAAGATGGTCCCCCTCCCCTGGCGCCCAAGGGGGGGGGGGGGTGCGAATTTTCAATTTTTCAAGGGAAAAAAAAAGTAGCGCTCACAACCCCTCCCCCCCCCCCCCTTGTTACATTGGTTTATACGTCTACATTATGAATACATTTTCAGGGATGATTTCAATATTTGTTTAACTTTATACACCATACAAGATATTGCTTAAGCATCATACTTTCCATGCAGCTGGGTGTGATGGTCTGTAAAATTATTTGCGAGCGTATAAAGAGGAAAAAACCTAATCCTTATGAGATAATAAGCACATTCTCAAAACGGTAGACCGAAAAGGCCTTTGAGAAGTAACATAAGTATATCATCTACAAATGCGTGCGAGCGTAGCGAGTGCATGAGCTTTGGGGAAATTGCTATTAGTCGCTTGAAATTAGGGGCGCGTTTAATGATGAGTGGAAAAGGGGACACTTATCCAAAGTCCAATGGCTTCTATTGGTAAATCAATAATGATAAATCAAAATCGATTTTAGCAACTGTCCACCAAAAAAAGTATATTCTAATCTCAATTGCATTAACTTCATCACATAGATCACTTGAAAGAAAAGGACCATTTGTCAAAGTACAAAGAGTAATTATCAGAGGTGAAAATGGGGCACTTCTTACACCTTCAAAAAGAGGCACTCACCAGGGATAAAAAAAAAAAATCAGTCATGAGAATAGGAAATGGGCATTTGTCGACGGAAAAGGGGCCCCCATCATATTTTGTTAGGGGCATTTATAAAAGGGGATAGGTTCCTTATTAGAAAGGAAAAGTGGCACGTATTATTGTTAAACGTGAAATTATCAGAGGTGAAAAGAGGCTTATCGCACCTGAAAATGGGCAACGACCAGATATGAAAAGGGGCCTTTATGTGAATGAAAAAGGGACATTTATAATAAATGAAAATGTGCATTTTTTGTAGGGGCATTTATAAGAGGTGAAGAGGGTATTTATGAAAAGGGGCTAGGGACCTTATTAGAAAGTAAAAGGGGCACGTATCGGTGAAAAGAGGCACTTATTGCACCTGAAGATGGGCACCGATCATATTTTAAAGGGGCATTTATCGGAGGTAAAAAGGAGTAACTTCTCGTACCTGAAAAGGGTCATTTACCAGAGATAAAAAGGTGCATTTATGAGAAGGGAAGGGGCTTTTTTAATGTGGGCAACTTTTCATTGGGAAAAAGGGCACTTATTTATTAGAAAGGTAAAGGGGCACATGTGAAAATATAGGTGCGCTTATCCGAGTTGAATTGGAGGTAGTCATTAAAGGGT